CCTTCTTTGTGAAAAATCTCTATCTCATTGGCTTCTAAGGCACCACACATTTCTGGTTCCTTTTAACTCGGTTTCTTAATCACTTAAATGTTGGCCACATCCTAGTTTCTATCCTCTGGCTGCTATTTTACCCACTTTACGTACTTTTCTGTGAGTGTTTTAACTCTTGCCTACGGGTAAACGTAAATCCCAAGTCTAGACTTCTTTCTTGAATGCTGTATCTCAAGTGTTTATCATTAGTCCCCAACTTTGCCTTGCCTATTCAGCATCTCCATTTGGATGACAGTCGTCTCAAACTTGACATCTTGAAAACCAAATTCTTGATGTTTCTTTCCCAAACTTGTTCCTCAAAACACTTCCTCTCTTGGCTGCTGGTAATTCCAAACTTCTAGTTGTTTAGCTCCCAAAACTTGAAGTCATCTTCAATTTCTCTCTTTTTCTTGCAGTCCGCTTTCATGTCATCAATAAGTCCCATTTTTTCTATCCTCAAAATATATTCAGAATCCACTTACTCTCAGCTACTCCACTGCTACACCTTTATTGAACTCTCCATATCTGATCTGAATTTTTGTAGCAGCTCCCAACTGTATTCCCTGCCTCTGCCCTGCCCTGTCCAGTCAGTTCTTTATTGAGCAGCCAGGATGGGTTTCTGACCACCCCTTGGGCCTCACTTCCTACCGCTATACCCAGAAAACACTTCTCACAATGCACTTGGTCCATGCTTCCCTTGTACCCTACTTGGAGCGTTCGTTCCTGTGTTTACATATGACTCACTCTTTCACCTTAACAGAATTTACTCAGTATTTCCTCACCAGGAAGAGCTCCTCAGTATTCCATATAGAATAGCTCTTCTCCACATCTTTTTTCAATCCTGCTTTACTTTTTCGTGATGATCTTTTGCTTTTTCTTATCATATCTGACACATTACACATATATTTTGGGGGGGGCTTCAGAATGATAGACTCTCATTATTGACTCATACGTGGCACTATTTGTTTATTTAATTAGCTAGTTATGTGTTTTTGATATATAGCTGTAAACTCAATGTTCAACACAGGAACTGGAAACACAAATCATTATAAATATATGTAATTTTTTTAAAGATTCATCCACTTATTTTAGAAAGAGAGAGAAGCACAAGCGGGGCGGGGAGGGGCAGAGGGAGAGGAAGGGAGAAAGAGAGAGAGAAGCAGACTCCCCACTGAACATGAAGCCCTAAATGGGGCTCAACCTCAGAACCTGAGACCAGAGCTGAGCTGAAATCAAGAGTCAGGTGTTAGGGTCCCCTGGGTGGCTCAGTTGGTTAAGCGCCAGACTCTTGGTTTCTGCTCAGGTCATAATCTCACGGTCTTGAGATCAAGCTCGGACTTGGCCATTGGGCTCTGTGCTGGGTTTTGATACATACATAGCATCTAGAATAGTACCTGGCACAGAGGCACTGGAAAATAAAGTAAGCATTACATATTTATATACCAATGTTTTCAAAGGTAATGTCAACATGCTCCAAACCAGAATTAAATCCTCACAACCCTACTTCTGTTCTCCCTTCTCTCTCTATACTCCTTTCCTTTCCTTTTCTCCCTAGAAACACAGAACTCCTGATTGCTCCCTCCATGTCTTTGCTCATTCTGATTTCATTGCCTGGAGGAGACTATCCCTTCTCCTTTTGGCCCCAGGACACCTATATAACTCCTTCTTCAAGAAGTTCATCCATCACTTCCTCAAAGATACCTGCTCTTCCCTTTCCTTTCCACAGGGTTCTCCCTGCGCTCACACACTTGTGTTTCTCTCGTGACCTTCTCCAAAAGGCTGAGAGCATCTTGAAGTACAGGAAGCAAGTTCAAGACCTCACCCATTATCTCCTCCCCTCCATCTTTAGGGTGTAATTAGAAGCAGACATTAGCATGCTCGGGTCACAGATTGAGAAACTGAAGTACACTCCATCCAGTTTCAGAGCTGAAGAAAAAGCCCAGAACCCCTTAGGAATCCTTTTTGGAGTTCTATTTCTATCCCTTGGGTAGCTGGTCAGTTCTTGTCTTTAGTAAACCTTGCTACAAGTCTGGGTTCCTCCCTGTGCCCCTCTGGAAAGTAACCATGGATACTATTGAGCTGGCACAAAAGCCTTCAGTTAATGGAGACTACAAGTGGTTTTTAGGACACTTAGAGGGTTTTGAGGTGAGGGGCAAACCCTGGAAACACTTGCAAAGGTAGGACTTTTGCCTCAGGCCTCCAGGCTGGGTGTGTTTCAGTTGAGGTGGACACTAATGCTCAGCAGAGCCCTGGACACTTGACAGGGCTTAGCCCCACACTAAGATATTAACTAGCTGTGAGTGGAGCACCAAAAAGGAGTCCCAGGCGGAAAGCAGGGACGGGGCTGTGAATCTGGAGCGGTGGGCTGACACACATGTTGCCAGCAACAACCCGGGCTCCTGAGGGGATCCAGGCCACAGAACTGGAGGCAAAAGGGGTCTCCTGTCCCCAGACAGGGGGGAGCTGCCAGCGACGCCATGTCCCTCCCTCCCTACGACTTTGCCCCAGGTGCGTTTTTCTCCTCCCCGCCAAGGACTGCAGGCAGGCAGGAGAAATTCACACCCAGATGTCTTTAAGAGGTGCCCCATTTCCTCTGAGCTCTTTCCCACCGCTGTCCCAGTGCCCACGTGCCTTCTCCGACCCCAAGAGTCCCGCATCTCTTTATTCTCAAACAAGGCTCCCCTGAAGGCTGGGGATCTGGGGAGCCCCACTCGCTCCTAATCTGTGGTGGAGCTGGGTCCCAACTTTCCAGTTCCTGCCAGGAGCGTCGCGCCTTCCGAGGTAAGACTGGGAAGCCAAACCGCATAAAGACTCAGTTTCACTGGGTGGAGGGTAGGTGTGCGTCAGGGTCAGTGAGGGTGTGTGCGGCTAAGCCTGCTTGTTACCTGAAGTGAGATCTCCAGGGGAGGGAGGGAGGAAGAGGGTTCCGGAGATGGACTTGGGGGCGAGAGGTGGCAGCAGTTCCCGGCGCTTTGACGTAGACTTGGAGAGGCGCCGAACACTCCCACTGCTTAAGAGGCACAGTAGCCTTCAGGACGCCGGGGCTGGGGACCGTCACTCTCTCGGGAAGCAGCCTGAGCTTTTCCTCTTCACACACTCCAAGGAATCCAGGGAGGGTTGAGCCGGTAAGTGCGAAGGGGTGCCCTCCTGCGACCTGGGAGTTGAGGCTCCGTGTAAAGAAAATAATGGGGCACAAAGGACACAGTGGGTCCTTGGCAGCTCCGCCCTAAAGAGGGTGAGGCCATTGAACCAAGTGTGGGATCGGGACGCAGCGAGCCCAGCGCGGGGCTTGTAGCGGGGCGCACGAAGGACCCCAGGGCTGAGGAACTTCCAGCCTCGGGGAAGACTGTCCTGAGAAGGGAACCTAAAGGAGCCGATATGAGTGCTGTGGTGGGAGCAGACAGGGAGTCCCGGACTACACTAACTTCAGCACACTGGACAGCGTCCCGCCCTTGGTCTTCCAGTAATTTAGCACTGACACTTGGACATGTTCCCTAAGAATAAATAGCCTTTGGGGCAACTCGACTTTGATATTTTAGTTCAGAAGAGGACATATTGAATATAATTTTGTTCAGGGAGAGATCCTGTGTAAGTGATCTGAAATATTTTTGAATAACCTTGTATCTCAACATGCCTCTTCCAAATACGAATGTGCATGTTCAAAGGCATTCCCGAAATACTGATTTAAGGGTGCCTCAGTATGTTCTGCTGCTGTGTAGAAGAGAAAGATTCATTCTTATGGTGTTATACTTAAATGTTCCAGTATAGACGTATTCCCATGAGCTGTGCCTTGCTTGCCTTCTTGACACATCTAAAAGGTTTGGGAAATATAAGATAAAACTGCAAGTGAGCTGTATATGTCTTCCTGTTTTTCCCTTATGTTAGAGTTGTTTAAGTGTGATACACATTTTGGGTAGTCTTGAAGAGTCAGATAAGATTATTTGTCCCTTATTTCAGGGACATTATATCTCATTACACTTGTCTGAAGTCTGAAGTGTAACAATAATTTCAAAGTGCTATATACTTTAATTTTTTAAAGATTTATTTATTTATTAGAAAGAGAGTGGGGGGGATGGGGCAGAGGGAGGGAATCTTCAAGCAGATTCTCTACTAAGTGTGGAGGGGATGGGGGTGAAGGGCAGGGCTTGACCCCACCACTCATGAGATCATGACCTGAGCCGAAACAAAGAGTCCTAGGTCCAACCAACCGACTGAGCCACCCAGGGTCCCCTATATAGTTTAATTTTATTGCAGCAGGCTTTGAGAGCCAGAAAAGTTGAATGAGAGGCAAATGCTTTCATTAAAATTCTTGAGATTCATAGCAAAAAGAAAAAAATGATAAAACATTATGAAAGTTATATCAGAATCGTAGAGCATTTTTAGGTGTTGATAAAATGTCAATTGATTCTACTCTAGTGGATTGAATATATACCCCTTCGTTCCCATACTTTTAGCACACTACCTTATGTTCATTTTTATTTAGAACATTTTACAATTCTTACGCTTTTTAAAAATTGAAAGTCACCCCAAATAGGAAAACACCTAAGGATAAAATATATTAGAATTCTTAATTGCGTGGGAGTCCTGGATTAGAATAGGTAGGCTAAACTATGATATTATAGAACAGTTGAAGCCATGCAGCAAGATTTTAAATTTTTACTTAATAGTTTTTTAAATTATGTTCCTCTGTCCTAGGGAAAAACAAGTTCACTTATTCATCTCATAAAGGAACATGTCTTAGGAATAAACACTTCCTAATCTAAATATCTTGGTTTTATACTACCTGGCTTGGCAATGAGTCATTTTAGATAGAATGGGACTTATGGGAGGAATGATAAGACTTTTCCTAAGGACAATGGTGTATTTTCTTTGCTGGAACCAAGGTTTTTAAAGGCATAATAATTTTCATTACTGAGTGGAGTTCAAGCAAGGATTTGTAAGATATTTCCATTCTATGCAGTTTCAGTGCCATGGCCGATCCTGGGAACAGAAGAGGGATCTACTGCCCCCTGACCCTTATCTGCTCCCTGCTCATTGTGGGAATGTGCTGTGTGTCTCCTTTCTTCTGCCATAGCCAGACAGACCTGCTGGCTCTTAACCAAGCTGATCCTCAGTGCTGGGAATCTTCTTCAGTGCTCCTCCTGGAAATGCAGAAGCCTCGAATTTCTAACACTGTTTCAGGTTTCTGGGATTTTATGATCTACCTGAAGTCATCTGAGAACTTGAAGCATGGGGCACTGTTTTGGGATCTGGCCCAACTCTTCTGGGACATCTATGTGGACTGTGTCCTCTCCAGGAACCATGGCTTAGGAAGGAGGCAATTGACTGGGAAGGAAGAGAAAATTTCGGCAGTGCATCCACAGCACACAGGGAGAAAACAAGGTGGTCAACTCTAGGTCCCATGTCTTTCAAAAGGGTCAATCAAGTATGAATGTGCTCAATTGTGAGGAAGGGGGAAATGGCTTTAGGGGGATTCATTGCACTCTCAGGAGTGAACCCAAGAGCACACAAAAGCACACAAGTGATAGGAAGATAGCACTTCCTTTTGTATTTCATGGGAGCTGTTTATATCAACATATTGTCCTCATTCTCATACTTCATGTGAACAACAGCAAGGAAGAGTAAAAAGACAAGGAAGGAGAAGCGTGATTCCCAAAATACAACACAAAAGTATAAAGTGATTAGCCTGAATATTAGCAGTCATAACCTGTCTTTACATGCTATGGATTTGGGAAGATTTGAATGTAAGTCTGGGGAATATTCACAACACACAAGCTCTCACCCCTTGTAAATAGAAAAAAAATGGCTTCCATGTAAATGGAGGGGCTCCTTGCAATGTACTTAGTTGGTGAAATGAAGGGCGGGAAATCTGGCTGGCTTGCAAATTCACTCCTTGTTGCTTTTTGAACAAATCTCAAATATGTAATTAACTTCCAGCAAGCAGAGTGATTAATTTTTAGTAATTTGGAATTTCTGGCAAATTTAGAGATTCTCACTGGTGCAAATATTATATTCAAAAACAGTCTTCTCTGGGGGCACTAAAAGAAATATCCTTTATAGAATTAGGATTAGAGCAAATGAGCCCCTGTGAGTAAGCTGAGAGATAGATAACTTAGCCCTATTCATATTGTTTTTGTTCCTTTTTTAATGTTGTTTCAACCAATGAGCTTCCAATCCTTGCAGCAAAATCTGTTTGGGTGGTAGTAACTCTTAGAATTACTTATCCACTAGCGCAAAACTGAGGCATAACTAATTTTTACATTTGTATATTTTATTGCAAGAATTGTTATATATCCCTATAATTTCTCTCTTAGAATAGCACTTAACAGTAATAGTTCTATATCAATCCTTTCCCAAGATATTGTAGAGCCTTTATATATCTAGTTTGTTTTAACCTCACTAACTAAAATCCTCATGATTTGCTGATCCATTAAACCAGATAATCCACTGCTGTACTTTATAGATAAATTTATTATTTTGGCAAGTGTTATTGTAACTTAAACCAATTTCCATTTTTAGAGGAAATATTCTTTTACCAGCTTAGCTACTAAAGAAATAAAAAAATGTCTTTCAATGTTGGTTATCAATATTTAAAAACCATTTTAAACAGAGGCTGTTCAGACATCAACATCCATAGAATTGGGTATTTTCTTCATTTGTAGTCTAGGACTCCTTTTTCCATTTTTATCATATTTAGTTGTCATACTCATTACCAGCAATATTTATTGGGTTTTTTTTTTGTATTTTACACTCACTTTAAATTACTAAAGTAACTATAGAATAAATGAAAATAATATTTGTGTTCAGACGAACATGAAAATAATTATATACACACACAAGGTCTTTCTCTAAAATAGCTTTCAGTTTACTTGCTTGCAATGTTGCTATCAGAACAGTCTGAAGCTACATGTAATTTTTTGAGCATATTTCAACATAGCATTTCTATCTTCTTCTTCTTTTTTTTTAAACGGTAGTAGATTTATCTTCAGCTTTGGGAACCACTTCTTTTCTCTTGCTACAGAGTTGCTGTTGACCCAGCTGGTCTGCAAACTTTAGCCAGAGTGGCTATGTAGCAGGAGGGAATATTTTACTTATTGAAGTTATTTTATTTTTTTAACTTTTTTTAAGATTTTATTTACTTGACAGAGACAGAGACAGCGAGAGCAGGAACACAAGCAGGGGGAGTGGGAGAGGGAGAAGAAGGCCTCCCCCCAAGGAAGGAGCCCTATGTGGGACTCAATCCCAGGACTCTGGGATCATGACCTGAGCCAAAGGCAGACGCTCAACGACTGAGCCACCTAGGCGCCCTATTGAAGTTGCTTTAATGTTTGACATAAACAATTGTTTGTAGATCAGGAAACAAGACTTTCCATTTGGATTGTATAATCACAGTCAAAGAGGGTCCTGGGTCAAGGAGACACCATGGCTAAAAGTTAAATAGTTGCTGGAACATTGAGATTTCATCTCAAGAGGTTTGATTAAATCTCTAGTGGCTCAACTGGGCTCTGGATGTACCTGCACAGATTCTCCACTAATTTTTTCTATTGTCCTTGGGGGATTACCAGGTTGGGATGGGGGTGAGGGTGAAGAGGTGTTTGTCTCTATAGTTCTCGGGGAAATCAAATCACCAGAGCAGAAGGAAAGAACTAATGTGTTTACATAATATGCGAAAAGGTTTTTGTTATTTTGATGTCCTCAAATTTAAATAGTTTATTTTTTTAAGATTTTATTTATTTATTTGACAGAGAGAGAGAGAATACAAGCAGGGGGAGCAGAAGTGGGAGAAGGAGAAGCAGACTTCCCGCTGAGCAGGGAGCCCTGTTTGGGACTCGATTCCAGGACCCTGCGATCATGACCTGAGCCAAAGGCAGACGTCCAACCCACTGAGCCACCCAGGCGCCCCTCAAACTTAAATAGTTTAAACACACTTGAGAAATGTTGCTATGAATCATGCTTTGTTAAACATAAAACTCCATATAATTTTGTAGGTTAATATATACTGGGCCAACAAAAATGAAAACAAGAGATATTAAATAGCTATGTAACTTCAGTCAACTTCATTAACTTATTTAACCCTCAGTTTCTTCATCTGAAAAAGAGGGGTGTGGAAAGAATTAGAAGGCCCATAAAGTCTCTTTACATTCTCCATTCTAATGCTCTGCAATTCTATAAAAAAGGAATTTATGAAAGGCATGTATTTAACTAGGGATAGAGTCTGGAAGAGCTTGACCCCAAGGACAGCTTATTGAGCTGGGTGATGACCTGGATACTTTAGTTGTTTATAACAATACTCAGCAGGAACAGAGGGCATCCAGAAATGAGAATTCCAAAAATTCCGAGGGCTAGAGATATCATCACTTGAGGAAAGACTCAAAAGATCATTGTTATTTAGTCTAGAAAGATATGAGTCAATAACTGAATGCTGAAATATCCAGAAGGTGTGAAGAGGGTGTAACCCAGCTTAACCACTAAATTATGATGCATTATGTCAAGGCAGAGAGAAAGAGAGAGTTATTAATTGATTTAGGAAAAGAATATGCTGATAAGGGATTTTGAAGTATATCCTTGTTTTCGTCAAAAAATAACGGGCTTTTCCTTCAACTAACCTTGCTTGGCCAGTGAGAGAAACAGAAAAACCTGCCTGCCTGAGACTGGCAGTTTAATATTCTAGAAAAATTGTGAGTCTTTGCATTCCTTCATGATGAGAAAATTAAAACTTAGATTTATAATTTGATGACATTTGCAGTTGGTGTCTAACTAGCTGGCAAATGTTAGTACTTATTTTTTCAACACCAAGCATTAGAGAAAACAATGCTTCAGGAATATATATATTATTAGTTTCACAAATGCTTGATTTTTTACCTTACTTATTCCAAGAATTTCCTAGGAACATCTTCAGAAATTACTCATCTAGAAATCTATCCTAAGGAAACATTCAGAGATGTGGCCAACAATGTAGTACAAAGTTTCACCACAATACTGCTTATAATAGCAGAAAACTTGGAAATTGTTTAAATGTAATGGTTGACTAAATTATGGCATAAAGTGTGTATGCATAAAACTTTAATATAAAAAATTATATAATGATCATTTTCACCTTTTTAATCAGAAAAAAATCTTAATACATATATTAATTAACAAGGAAATGTATTTATTATAATTTATTTTAACTAAACTGCAAAGGACACATAAACAGATTTACATATAAGCTCCTGCAATAAGTTTATAGAGACTTTGATAGTGACAGAAACAACAAACTTTATTTTTTATTTTTAAAGATTTATTGGAGAGAGAGAGAGAGAGGGAGAGAGAGAGAGAGGGAGAGAATGGGGGGAGGGGCAGAGGGAGAGAATCTTCGAGCAGACTTCCCTCTGAGCACGGAGCCTGAGGTGGGGCTTGATCCCATGACCCATGAGATCATGACCTGAGCCAAAACCAAGAGTAAGATGCTCAAATGACCTAGCCACCCAGGTGCCCCAACAAACTTTCTTTTAAACCCAATGTATTGATATTTAATTAACCTGAGAATAATTTGGTGCTCTGATAATGAGTTCTTTTTCTCTACTTTCAGGTACATATTCTCAGCAACTAAGAACACCTTTCCTAAAGAAGAAAGAGTTGATTGAAGGTTTGATAAGCATGCACTTGCATAGGAGTGGGTCTAAGTTCACCGGAAAAGTCACCAGTGGCCTGGAAATAAAAAGAAAATAAATCCAACCTCTGAGCTAACTCACATCTTGGAATTAAAAACAACCCACGTTTTTCTTGACTATTGACCATTTGTTTACTTGAAATGGTGGGAATGTCCAGAGATAAATCATAAGCCACATTCTCTCAGAGTACTTACTTAAGCCTGCTAGCATGTTCCTTCAAATGGTGGCTTTACTGCCAAATCATCCCACTGTCTGAGAGAGTTAAAATAGCTTCCAAAGAGGACCAGGGGATTGAGCAAGTCAGATTGTATTCACTCTGATAAATTGTTCTGGGATGCTGGATATTGTTAATGAACTAGAGGGCCATACATTTAACTTGAATACACTGCATGACTTCCAAGCCATTAACCACTGCTTATGTACAGGCATACAAAGGACTATATTTATTAATTACCAGTTACTGACTGTCTGTAATACCTAAATCTTGTTTGAAAGAATATTTTTGAATACTATATAAAACAAAGAACAAACAAACAAAAAACATGAACAAAAATGGCAAATAAAGCATTCTTCTAATGGAAACAAAATTAATAAAAGCTCTGGACCCCAAGTAACATTATTGGAATCTCTTTATTTCAGTATTTGGTGTTACCATTACTGATACTCTAAACTCTAATAAAATAACAGTAAGTATAAGTATTTTTCGATTAGCATATTTTCTATTTGATTAGATATTAAAACTCCATAAGTGGTTAGTTACACTTTGCATTGCTGGACAGCATTATAATAAAAGAATCCATAAAAAAGTTTTCCCTGAAAAATGAACAAAGCTGATGAGGTTCACAGTAGAGAAGTCCAATGAACAAATGTATTTGAGATCTAGACACAATGTGATTTTTAAAATTTTTTTATTGTTATGTTAATCACCATATATTACATCATTAGTTTTTGATGTAGTGTTCCATGATTCATTGTTTGTGCATAACACCCAGTGCTCCATGCAGAACGTGCCCTCTTTAATACCCATCACCAGGCTAACCCATCCCCCTACCTTCCTCCCCTCTAGAACCCTCAGTTTGTTTTTCAGAGTCCATCGTATCTCATGGTTCGTCTCCCCCTCCGACTTACTCCCCCTCATTCTTCCCCTCCTGCTATCTTCTTCTTTTTCTTTTTTCTTAACATATGTTGCATTATTTGTTTCAGAAGTACAGATCTGTGATTCAACAGTCTTGCACAATTCACAGCGCTCACCATAGCACATACCCTCCCCAATGTCTATCACCCAGCCACCCCATCCCTCCCACCCCCCACCACTCCAGCAACCCTTAGTTTGTTTCCTGAGATTAAGAATTCCTCATATCAGTGAGGTCATATGATACATGTCTTTCTCTGATTGACTTATTTCACTCAGCATAACACCCTCCAGTTCCATCCACGTCATTGCAAATGGCAAGATCTTATTCCTTTTGATGGCTGCATAATATTCCATTGTGTATATATACCACATCTTCTTTATCCATTCATCTGTCGATGGACATCTTGGCTCTTTCCACAGTTTGGCTATTGTGGACATTGCTGCTATAAACATTGGGGTGCATGTACCCCTTCGGATCCCTACATTTGTATCTTTGTGGTAAATACCCAGGAGTGCAATTGCTGGATCGTATGGTAGCTCTATTTTCAACTTTTTGAGGAACCTCCATACTGTTTTCCAGAGTGGTTGCACCAGCTTGCATTCCCACCAACAGTGTAGGAGGATTCCCCTTTCTCCACATCCCCGCCAACATCTGTCGTTTCCTGACTTGTTAATTTTAGCCATTCTGACTGGTGTGAGGTGGTATCTCATTGAGATTTTGATTTGGATTTCCCTGATGCCGAGCGATGTTGAGCACTTTTTCATGTGTCTGTTGGCCATTTGGATGTCTTCTTTGGAAAAATGTCTGTTCATGTCTTCTGCCCATTTCTTGATTGGATTATTTGTTCTTTGGGTGTTGAGTTTGATAAGTTCTTTATAGATTTTGGATACTAGCCCTTTATCTGATATGTCATTTGCAAATATTTTCTCCCATTCTGTCGGTTGTCTTTTGGTTTTGTGGACTGTTTCTTTTGCTGTGCAAAAGCTTTTTATCTTGATGAAATCCCAATAGTTCATTTTTGCCCTTGCTTCCCTTGCCTTTGGCGATGTTTCTAGGAAGAAGTTGCTGCGGGCTGAGGTCGAAGAGGTTGCTACCTGTGTTCTCCTTTAGGATTTTGATGGACTCCTGTCTCACATTTAGGTCTTTCAACCATTTGGAGTCTATTTTTGTGTGTGGTGTAAGGAAATGGTCCAGTTTCATTCTTCTGCATGTGGCTGTCCAATTTTCCCAACACCATTTGTTGAAGAGACTGTCTTTTTGCCATTGGACATTCTTTCCTGCTCTGTCAAAGATAAGTTGACCATAGAGTTGAGGGTCCATTTCTGGGCTCTCTATTCTGTTCCATTGATCTATGTGTCTGTTTTTGTGCCAGTACCATACTGTCTCGATGATGACAGCTTTGTAATAGAGCTGGAAGTCCGGAATTGTGATGCCGCCAGCTTTGCTTTTCTTTTTCAAGATTCCTCTGGCTATTTGGGGTCTCTTCTGGTTCCATACAAATTTTAGGATTATTTGTTCCATTTCTTTGAAAAAAGTGGATAGTATTTTGATGGGGATTGCACTGAATGTGTAGATTGCTCAAGGTAGCATTGACATCTTCACAATGTTGGTTCTCCCAATCCATGAGCATGGAACATTTTTCCATTTCTTTGTGTCTTCTTCAATTTCTTTCCTGAGTATTTTATAGTTTTCTGAGTACAGATCCTTTTCCTCTTTGGTTAAATTTATTCCTAGGTATCTTATCGTTTTGGGTGCAATTGTAAATGGGATCGACTCCTTGATTTGTCTCTCTTCTGTCTTGTTGTTGGTGTATAGGAATGCCACTGAGTTCTGTGCATTGATTTTATATCCTGCTACTTTACTGAATTCCTGTAGGAGTTCTAGCAGTTTTGGGGTGGAGTCTTTTGGGTTTTCCACATACAGTATCATATCATCTGCAAAGAGTGAGAGTTTGACTTCCTCTTTGCCGATTTGGATGCCTTTGATTTCTTTTTGTTTTCTGATTCCTGTGGCTAGGACTTCTAATACTATGTTGAATAGCAGTGGTGATAGTGGACATCCCTGCCGCGTTCCTGACCTTAGGGGGAAAGCTCTCAGCTTTTCCCCATTGAGAATGATATTCGCTGTAGGTTTTTCATAGATGGCTTTTATGATATTGAGGTGTGTACCCTCTATCCCTATACTCTGAAGAGTTTTGATCAAGAAAGGATGCTGTACTTTGTCAAATGCTTTTTCTGCATCTATTGAGAGGATCATATAATTCTTGTTCTTTCTTTTGTTAATGTATTGTATCACGTTGATTGATTTGCGGATGTTGAACCATCCTTGCAGCCCAGGGATAAATCCCACTTGGTCGTGGTGAATAATCCTTTTAATGTCCTGTTAGATCCTATTGGCTAGTATTTTGGTGAGAATTTTTGCATCCATGTTCATCAAGGATATTGGTCTGTAATTCTTTTTGATGGGGTCTTTGTCTGGTTTTGGGATCAAGGTAATGCTGGCCTCATAAAATGAGTTTGGAAGTTTTCCTTCCATTTCTATTTTTTTGGAACAGTTTCAGGAGAATAGGTATTAATTCTTCTTTAAACGTCTGATAGAATTCCCCTGGGAAGCCATCTGGCCCTGGGCTTTTGTTTCTTGGGAGATTTTTGATGACTGCTTCAATTTCCTTAGTGGCTATAGGTCTGTTCAGGTTTTCTATGTCTTCCTGGTTCAATTTTGGTAGTTGATACATCTCTAGGAATGCACCCATTTCTTCCAGGTTATCTAATTTGCTGGCATAGAGTTGCTCATAATATGTTCTTATAATTGTTTGTATTTCTTTGGTGTTGGTTGTGATCTCTCCTCTTTCATTCATGATTTTGTTGATTTGGGTCATTTCTCTTTTCTTTTTGATAAGTCTGGCCAGGGGTTTATCACTCTTGTTAATTCTTTCAAAGAACCAGCTCTTAGTTTCGTTGATCTGTTCTACTGTTCTTTTGGTTTCTAGTTCATTGATTTCTGCTCTGATCTTTATTATTTCTCTTCTCCTGCTGGGTTTAGGCTTTATTTGCTGTTCTTTCTCCAGCTCCTTTAGGTGTAGGGTTAGGTTGTGTATTTGAGACCTTTCTTGTTTCTTGAGAAAGGCTTGTATTGCTATGTACTTTCCTCTCAGGACTGCCTTTGCTGTATCCCAAAGATTTTGAACAGTTGTGTTTTCATTTTCATTGGTTTCCATGAATTTTTTTCATTCTTCTTTAATTTCCTGGTTGACCCATTCATTCTTTATTAGGATGCTCTTTAGCCTCCATGTATTTGAGTTCTTTCCGACTTTCCTGTTGTGATTGAGTTCTAGTTTCAAAGCACTGTAGTCTGAAAATATGCAGGGAATAATCCCAATCTTTTGGTAGTGGTTGAGACCTGATTTGTGACCTCGGATGTGATCTATTCTGGAGAATGTTCCATGGGCACTAGAGAAGAATGTGTATTCTGTTGCTTTGGGATGGAATGTTCTGAAAATGTCCGTGAAGTCCATTTGGCCCAGTGTGTCATTTAAAGTCTTTATTTCCTTGTTGATCTTTTGCTTAGATGATCTGTCCATTTCAGTCAGGGGGGTGTTAAAGTCCCCCACTATTACTGTATTGTTGTCAATGTGTTTCTTCGCTTTTGTTATTAATTGCCTTATATAATTGGCTGCTCCCATGTTAGGGGCATAGATATTTACAATTGTTAGATCTTCTTGTTGGATAGACCCTTTAAGTAGGATAGAGTGTCCTTCCTCATCTCTTATTACAGTCTTTGGTTTAAAATCTAATTTGTCTGATATAAGGATTGCCACCCCAGCTTTCTTCTGGTGTCCACTAGCATGGTAAATGGTTTTCCACACCCTCACTTTCAATCTGGGGATGTCTTTGGGTCTAAAATGAGTCTCTTGGAGACAGCA